CTCACAATTATCTGTTAATTCTATCAAATGGACTTCTGCTATTGTCGTCTGCTCACTCATATTTCCAGGTCACTATTACCGTATGATATTCTTTGGGATTAATAATGGAGTGTTTTCCCGTTGCCTTCTCTTAGCTGGCCATTGACTCATCGAGAGTTCTTCTGTCCTTTGTTAGGTCTCATTTTTCATCCTACTGGATTGCTAACATGGAGTAGGGTAGCCGGTTTAGTCGCCGACACTCCGACAGTGGAATGCATTCTGAGACAATGAGTAAGGGGGGTTTGGAAAATCTGAAACTCATAGGATGGATAGAGGGAAAAGGAGCAGAGGAAAACAACGCGTGACATACTTAATGGGCTTGAGCAAATGGATGGCAGAACGGGGTCTGGAAGAAATAACAAAAAAACAAAACTTATTAAGAGCTCCATTGAACAGGAAGATGTGGAGGACCATGATCACTACGTCCTGAAAGGGCACAGCACATAAAAAAAGACAAATTGTCGTATGTCTTCGGCTATTTTTCAACTCAATTATATTTATCAGATTTTAATCGTTTTTCTATCTCTCTCAAGCCCTCTTTTCACCAAATGACCTAAGCCCGTCTTACTTCTTTCTGCATATATATTCTTACTGATATCTAACAATCAATTTTAAAAGTGTCGTTATATTTTAATAACTAAATCGAATGCAGATAAACACAGCAGGTCATGTGACAGCAATATGCATTTGTTTCGTTTTTTTTTTTTTTTATTAGTTTTACTTCAACGCTTGAACAACTTTTAGATCAACTAAGAAAGTGTGAATTAAGATGTAGCTTCCATTAAGATTTGAACTTGCACCACACACCTTAGGGACTCGTCTTTCATGTCTTTTTACCTTATTTTCGCTTTTTAGGGCTTCTGTGGTCATGTGCACATTTGTGTGCGCGCAATCTCACTTGCCTTCATTTGCATGTGTAGCAAAACTAGTTTTATTTTTATTGTGTTTCTAATCGCTTCAGTATCCTCGTGTAACTAACCTCGCCACGACCCCATAAACTAAACTCTATGTGCCACCCACCACCATGTCAGGGAACTCCTATAGTCTAACAATAGTTTTTTGAGACTACTTGTTCCGATGATGTCAATGGCCGTGAGAGTCATTTCGCGTGCGAACCGGGCGAGACGAGCGCGTTGTGTGAGGCGATTGGTTATTGAAAAGAAAACTGCTCAGCCTGATGACGTCAAACGTCACGTTGCCAAAGTCGGTAGGTGTTTCATCTGTTACACTTCTTATCTTTTTCTAGCACTTCTCAGATATTTGGCCTTGAGACAAGGTGTAAAACGTAGCATAATTTTGTTATGTGTTTTCTGATTGATTATATACTGTAATTTTTACTGTTAATTGATGAAGAGTGATCAGTGGACTACAACATCGTTGATAGTTCTGATGCTGTCTGTCGACAGAAATGTGGGACAAAAATGTCGAGAAGTAAATATAAGAAGAGAAAATATATAAAAAAAGCCAAATCATTGGCAAGATTCTTCCTAGCAGCAATGCAGAGATCATTTAAAATGTATACATTTGAATACATTTTTAATGAAGTTCAGCTGATAGGTAGAAAAAGAAACGATGATAAGAGATTACGAAAAGTGAACATAAATTCTATTGTATTTACAAAACATTGTTTTAATCGTGAGATTAAATTCATTAACGATATCTGCAGCTAAAGATATATGAAGTAAATGTAGAACAATCAATTCTTTAAATATAGTCTTACACAGTGAAAGTGGCTTGTAGAAAGAACGACTCAAAACGATGATTTACCCCTTTTAACGAACGGAAGTAAAAAAGGTTTTGTTGCTGATTATTTAAGTGCTCGTCACACGGTTCTAGTACTACGTATATTATTGGACCGACTTTCATAATTAGGAAGTTAAAAATATTTTCTTTTAAACTATCAAATGGGTTATTGTATTATTGGCATGTGATTTTTACGGAGTCGTGTTGCTTAGCCCGGCACCTAACATTGCAAGGCGAAATGCTTTACTATTTATCCAGTAACTGGAAAGAGTGGCGAAAATAGATTCATGCTTTTCCTCACAACATGAGTGCGAAGTGAACGCAAATTGTCCACCGTCGGAACTTGAACTCGTTTCACCGATTCCATTTTCCGTGCCGTTAAGCATTGACCTCATCCCATGTCAAATGGATGCTACGACCTTTGCTTCTCCAAGCAATTCTTCCCCAGCTGGAAGGCGAGTCTAAACCACGCTCCAGAAATGACGCGAAACGAGACTCATCGTGGATTAAACCGTTGGTTGAAGAATTTGGTGACATAGTAATGGAGAGTTCAATCCCTGAAGCGAGTAGTGCAGAGTTCGACTCAGTGGAAAAATGTCGAGCAATAACTGTGCAGTATTAAATAAAGCACAAAACGAGATATCTCCACAAAACGAGTACACTCTACCCCCGTAGAGTGTAGAGTTCAGTTCGAAACCCCCTGTAGTCTCTCCGGACCGACTAAGCACCTGAAGAAGGTCGGGGGGGCACAATGACTGAAACGTCGTGATTATAGCATCAATGACGAGGAAAATACAGTATAAATGACAACTCTTCATACTAGAAATTCAGACAAAAGCCAGTGGAACGTTGGCTATTGTAAGAGATCTATTTTTCTAATTATCTCCAAACAGCTGGTGTTATTGGCAGAGGGTTAATTATTCGCTTCTATTTCTCGGTTTGGATGAGTAAACCGATATCAGTTAGCGATAGCTGACAAGATCCATCAAGTGTCAGTCACACCGACTGTTCCTTCTAGTTCCCCGCCCCTCTGTAAGTCAATCCAATCACCAATTAGTAAAAGTCGCTTCGGTGCCGTTAGAAAAAGGTCGCAAAGTCAAAATATGAAGGACGTTATTAATCGAGTAATTCGACAAATTTTTACATAATAATATTAGCCACTGATGAGATGATTTTGTTTGACGTCATATCAACGCGCGATTTCGCCAATCACTCCACGGCAATCATTACTTTTCACATTTTTTTTATCACCATCTACGAATTGTCTATTCATCTTTTCTGTGCAAAATAAGAACAATAGAATTTCCCCCAATATATGTCGTCAGCCGCTCTCTAGTAGTTAATTAAAATTATGGAAAATAGAATTTTAGAATATTTAGAAAGTACACAAGATTCTTCCTTTTTTTTTGTCTTTAAAGAAAATATATAAGAAATAGCGGATTACGGAAATCGGTTTATTATATCGACAATACATCAGATTAATTTAATCAGACTACACCATGCCACACGAGACACAAGATCGCAAATATTGTGCACCCAGTTGAAACCGAATCCACTACGGTAGTAATAACTTCTTCAAGTCAAGGCGGAATCATTATCTATTTTCCTCGTCCTAATAATCTTCACTTCTAACTACTCACTTCTTCATTCATATTCTATCTTGAGCAGTTCTCGAGTTTTGTTTTGGGTAAATTTTAGTATAATGATAGTTACTAGTTGAACTTATTAATCATGACTCGACAGTAAGTGCAGAATACCTCATTCATATAGTGTAGGGTCACAGAGAGGGTGCGTTTGGTAAATTGTCGCCATATTATATTTTTCATTTCGCGCATGTGCGTTGTTTGTTTTTGATTTTGTCAACTGCACTGTATAGTAGGGTCAGTTGGGCACCGTCTGTGAGAAAAAGAGCACCATGATGCAATTCACTCCACCAGAAATTTTGAAACGGCATGCTGTACTGCTTGGCACACGCACCATAAGCTCCAATACAAACATTTCAGAGTGTTTGGGTGTCAGTCTGAGGACAGTGCCAAGGATGCGGAAAGAGTTGGATGAGTGTAATGATGATTACGAATGTACGGCAGCACGTGATCATTCTGATAAGAAAAGAACTTCCGAATTTGTAGGTGAGGGCCTCGGAGGCATACATCATGTGCCTTGGGGAGGTAGTGCTGCATTGGGTCAAGAGGGTAGCTGCTGGAAGACCCTAGGTCTGGCAACAGGACATTGCACCATGTCCGCAAACAGGAGAACCCAGTCATGGCTGTCAGACAATTTCTGCAATCGCATCAACACTTACATCTAGCTATCTAACTCCCCAAACTGTAACCCCCTTCATTATTATGTGTGGGCCACAGTTGAACGAGAGACCAACAAAACCCCTTGTAATACCAAAGATGAACTGAAGGTAAGGATTATGGCAGCATTCACCAACTTAAACAAGGAGACCACCCAGAAGAGTAGCAGGAGATTCTGAAGTCGTCTGGAGGCTGTGGTTGAAGCCAATGGCGATTTCATTGAATAAAATTACTCTTTCGCATTTCAAGATATTTTTTTGTGTAATTTTGGTAAATATATCTGTTAAAATGAGACATGTCAATATTATTGTCATTTCAGCGTAATTTACATAACAATTTATCCATCGCACCCTGTATATATGGAGTACTTACTGATGATCGAACTCTCAACAGTAGTAATATTATTTGAGACAAATTTACTAACTCATGCATCAAAGCGTGGCATCTATTCTGATAGTTTTATCAAAAAGTAACTTGATTTCTTTGTAGATTTTCCAACAAAACGCTACAAATGTATTAGAGGTAAGCAAAATTTTCACATTTCTTGAAATTTGAAACATCATTCTTTTCATCCCATTCTTCGGAAGAGACACTGTCACACGTGGAAAAAACATCCAAGCGCGAGAATTTCTCCGTGAATAATGCGAGCCATCAAATCTCCAATGTAATTCAAAAAGGAGATGACTGCATAAAAATGGTTAAAGGCGTACTCAGCCGTTTCTTTTATGCCATCGCCACAACGAAAAGAGGCTGACAAATTTCTAATCCCAACTTTCGAGTCGTAGCGTTTTTCAAACAAGTGATCATGTAAGCGAGAACTCAGACTTACTGAGCTCGTCGGCAATTGGAGCCAGTACCATCGAACGAAGCTTCTCTGCCGACAAAGTCTGAACGATTCCGGGGCTTACTGACACCTCACGTTGAAACACCAGTTCTCGTAAGATCACGAAGTTAAACAACTTCGAGCCTTGTCAGTACCTAGATGGGTGACCGCTTGAGAATACCAGGAGGTGTTAGCTTGAATGTGTGCGTGTACGGTGTAATGGATAACGGGCCTGAAGTTTTAATCAGAGCTGCCGAGTTCGAATTCTAGTCAAGTTTGTATATTCACTTACGCGCAAATACCCTTGTTAAATGTGTAAATACACCTCTTCTCTCCCCCAACTACAGGTTAATTAGAAGGACTTGTAACAGTAAAGCATTATTATCTCCAACAAATTATTTCAATCTAAAAATATTCTCTGGCTTTAAATAACCTGCAAAAGGTTGATAAACCGTAAAAAACAAACCAATCAAATCAAACGAATTCAACGTGATCTCTTCTATTTATCAATAAAATATCTTTCGAAGCCGTGAAATCTTTTAATATACTAAATGCAAGTTGTTTATAAATGAGAAGATTGCTTTAATCTATGAGTGTGGGAGATTTTATTATGACGTCAAATCAGCGAAATATCTTGTCAGTTGCTCCAAGATACTTTTGCCAACGACAACACGCCTTGAATCATTGCTCCATTCACTCGGAGAATAATAATAAAAAAAAAATGATCTAAGAGACAAATTTCACACGAGCAAACCAACGAGCTAAGAACGTTGTGGAGGTACACGGTAGTCGGAATAGCAACAAGCTGTTACATATTAAGTCACTAAAAAGCGATGTCTACAAAAGAACATCTAAATTGTATCCCAGGAACGCTTGGAATGAAAACTGTCTTTTGAAAGTGTCAAATAATTCAGAATTTTTTTTCTGCTTCAGAAATATTCCATGCAGGCGAAAACGCCCAAATGTACACTTTTAATGAATGCCAGGAAATGCAAAGGATAACAGTTTGTCTATGACAGAAACATATGCGCAGATGTAGAGAAATGATAAGTTCAAACAGCTAAAAAGCGTTACTTCATATTTATCTATCATATGTATAAGTGGACACTGAGTGGTGATAGCCTGAAGATTGCATTCAAATATGAAACAGACTACCACCGCTTGGTGTTGATCTCAGTGTCCACTTTTATATTTACATACGCTGTCCTTGATATTGAACAGTTTTACACATGAATATAGCATACCTTACAACTATATATATATATATATATATATATATATAAAAGACTGTTCGCAGCTCATCAGTGTGGTTAGACATCCGATTGCCTCAAGCGGAGATCGAAACACGACTGATTTGGTATCAGTCGGAGACTATCCATAACCCATTGGCGCACGGCAGAGATGAAGGTGAATTTAGACGTGTTTATTTTTAGATAACTGGAGAACTCGATTCGTCTTAACGAAGAGTCTTGCATCAGCAGCAGTAATAGTCACTGTTTACAAATTCACTTTTTTTTAGTCTTATATATATATATATATATATATATATATATATATATATATTATGAACAAAAAGTTTTTGACCATACTCTAGATTTCGAATTGAAGGCTCCGTGCATTTTCAAAAACTAGTTTACTAGCCGAAATCGAGCCAGGAGGACTTTCTCTTCCTGAAGGATTTTATCAAATATTCAATAATAATAATAACAAAGACAACATCAAAACTACTTCATAAAATTTGCTTAATATTTTAGCTCTTTTTGACCAATCTATTTACTGGCTAACGCTAATCTTAGGGTTTTAAATTTTACATAACATCCTTTCTAAAAAAAAAAAAAATCAAAACAAAAAAAAACTTCGATACCATGCAGTAATGTGTAAAATAGTTTTAGCATCCTATCTTACCAGGAGTTGATTAAACCAAAAAAGGTATGAAACTTACTAATTATTAAATCCAGAGGGGAGGTCTAAAGTTTGGCTTTTTTTATATATATATATATATATATATATATATATATATATATATACATACACACACAAGTATAACATTGGTATATACGGAATAAATTCCAATGACCAAAAATAATATTCTTAAAAGAGTGTTCAATACAGAGTAGAGCAAATATAATTTATTCGAAAATTATAATATAAACATGTTATAAAATCACTACAAAAATGGCCATTTATTCTACATTCTGGTGTCTTATCAAGTGATAAGTGTTGAATGTAGAATAAAGGAAAAACTCTTTATTCCATTATTTGTAGTGATTTTATAACATGTTTATGTTATAATTTTTCATGTTTAAATTTATATATATATATATATATATATATTACTCATACCATCAAAAACGAAGCCAAATATGAAATTGATATTTTGTTGTGTCTTTACAATTATGAGATTCATATGTGATTCTTTAAATATATTTTTCATTTATTATTGCTGTACTCTGCTCATTTCCGTTGGTTGGGTCATGTCCAGAGGATGATAGCAATCAATCCGAAATTGGCAGTTGACATATAAGATCACCTTGTCTCATCACAGAGAAGTCAGAATAACAATGAGAAAGTAAAAATAATCAACACCCATTGGAACGGGGTAGTACCTGCAGAATCTGTAGCATTGTCTGCCTCTCGCATATTGGACTTTGCAGCGACGAGAAACCGGTGTTTTACTGATTGAAAACGTCTATTTATGCATTGAAGTCAAAACCATGGAATATCCATCCGGAATTGAGAGAAAGTGTGTAAGATTTCGTCGGGATAAATCTAAATCGTAAATGTCTTTGGTAAGCATACAACAATTGGCAGAGATTAGCTGGGTCGTTTTCACTCGTTCATCAAATTCACTAAATATTACACCTTTTGATTATCATTTATTGAATCTTTATAAAATTCTTTTAAAAACAAATATTTAGAAGAATATAAAAAATCAGAGATTATTTGTGATGCCATCGGCTCCCAAGTAGGCATCTATACAGATGACATTACCATTTACACCTGTCTCAATAGTAAACCCGGTAGCGTTGACAAAGTCAATTTGGCTGATGCTCTCGAAAAGGACCTTCAATTAGTGGTTAACTGGAGTGGCAAATGGCATGTAAATTTTAATACCTCCAAAACGAAACTTCTCACATTTATGAGTCAGTTATGTGCCATGCGTGATACACGCTTAGGCGATCATGTATCTTTCGATACTTGATTGACGAGGCAGATTTTTTCCCGCAGTAGGTTGCCATTTCTTTCTGCGGTAGACCAATTGCTATCCAAGGCTATAGAACCCGGTCTGCCCTGCTATTTACCCATAGCTGGGGGGGGGGAGAAGAGGATTCATACCTTTCCCAAGGGTATTAGCAAATAAGCGAGCGTAATAGATTTGACTGGAATTTGAGCTGCTCTCCGATTCCTCAATCCAAGCCGCTATCCATTACATCACCGTGCCTCCTCAGACACCACAGAGATAATTCCCTGCCCCACTTTAACATGGTTGATGCTAAACTCCAGGAGAGTGTCTCTCTCTGCCTTCTTTGCCTTACGCTTTCAAATGACGAAGTGGAACAACTACATTGTATCAATAGCTGCATCTGTTGAAAGGAAGGTTGGCTCACTGAGGTTTTTCTCGTTAGAGTCTAGCCTACATATCCACAAATCGAGCATTCGTCTGTGTATTAAGTATTGTTGCCATATCTAGTCTGGTGTCCCTGCTGTTCATCTCGAGGTTCTCAACAAAATCCAAAGAAGGATCTGCAATGTAATCGATCCTGACCTGGCATCTCGAGTCCAGTCACATTCTCACAGACGTTGTGTGACTGCCCTCTGTCTTTTCTAAAATTATTTCCATGGCTACTGCTCTGACGAACTTTTTTTCCCTGGTGCCCGGCCACGCGTGTTTAAGCATGCTACTACATTGGCATCTAGGCTCCATCCTTTTACTATTGAATTAGGCAAATGTAACCGCCATTTCTACTCCAACAGTTTCTTTCGTCGTACATACCACCTGTGGAACTCCTTTCCGTTTTATTGTTTCCCTGATAACTACAATCTTCAAAAATTTACATGCAAAGCCAGTCGCCATCTTCTATCTTCCTGAACACCGTTTATCTTTTATCCTTTCTTCATTCCCCCTATACACAGTTTTTCTCTCGCCTTCACTATGTAACCCTCTGCGAACCAGTGGCATTTCCGCATTGCTAAGAGTGAAATGCTTATAAAAAAACTTTCTGGTCGAATGAAAATATGAAATTTGTTTGAAAATGAAACATTACGAAACAAAACAGTAAATATGCTGTTTAATAAAGTTAATTTTGACAAGAAAGAATAACTAACTTATTACTTATTTAGCAGAACATGTTTTAATTTAGCCAATAATTAAAAACAGACGATTTCTCTTTATTGCGCGGGATGGAAAATTTGAGCTCAAATAATAAGTATGCAGTTGCCGTGGAGTTTTTCTTTCTTTGAATTTTGATCACTTAGGATTGAACATATAAACAGATATTCAACCGAAAAGAAAAAATAACAAAGGAAATAACGAAAAAATTGTCACGCGATTGCATAACACCTCACGTGATTATTATCTGTTGAAACCTTTTCAATGAACATTGTAATTTAGAAAAAAAAAACGTGTAGGAAATTTCGATGAATGCATTTCTAGTTTATAAAAGAGAGACAGACAAAGAGGAGGTGGAGGGAAAAAGGAAGAGGCTTAGATAAGAAAAGACTGATCGCTTGTTAAATACATTTGAATGAAGATAGATAGATAGATAATGAACAGATACGACCAATGATAGATCATGAACAGAGATGAACAGATATGAACAAAAACAGATAGATATATAGATAGGGGTAAAGAAAGAGAGAAGTACAGAGAAAGAGAGATAGATAGAGAAATACGATCAAACTCGAGACAGACCTAGAGAGGCAGCTATGGACATAGCCAGCTAGATAGATAGATGTGAACATAGAAAGAGAGCGAACAAGAGATGGATGAAAAATAGACATGAAAATAAATATATAGATAGCTATTAAACACACACACACACACACACACAGAGAGGAACAACGACAATAAAAATCCGTTCGGATGTAGGCAAAACTGACGTCGTCCGGAAGCAAACAAGAATGTCAGCTGACGTAAATAGTTGATTCGCCACAGGATTTGATGTCATCTCATGACGTCACCTTGCTCTGTTA